TTGTCTTGTGATCACAGTGATGCAGGCTATCATTTGTTAGTTCCAACTGTGTGTGAGATAACAAATGTTGTTGGCGGAAGGCTTGCTTGAATGGTTGTGTAGAAGCGAAGTCTCGGGAGGAGTTAAGAATTTGATCATACTGTGAATTGCGCTATTCATGGAGGTACGGTGGGAAACAGAATATTTCCCTTCCTCTGAGGTAGTACAGCTTCAGCTCCTGTGTCACACTGCCCCAAGCCCCTTCTTACCTCTCCCACTTAGGAGCTAAGCATCCTTGAGCAAATTGCTTTTCTCATCAAAAAAAAAAAATATGTTTTTTGTTGTGCGCATGCGCACACCCCCCCCCCCATCTAGCTACCTGTACCTGTCTCTTTAAGAGTTGTGATTTCCTGTAGGAATCTTTAACGAGCATACACTCCAATCAGGGATGGATGCCACCCGAGAGTCCACATCTTCACTGGGTTATTAATAGCATTTGGGGGCTTGACTTCCCCTAAAGAGGCAGTAAGTGAGCTCCTCCCTGGCAGGAGCCACGAATCATTATGGCCTCCAGCTTAGCGCATGGTGGGGGCGGGGTTAGTGTACATTGAGTGAGTAAATGCATGAATGCTTTTTGTTTTAAGTTTTTGTCCTTTCTAAAGTGCAAAGAAAACATTGCAATTATGTTAACTCAGTCAGTTACAAAGGAACTAGAGTTGCTATGATCCTGATCCAATAGAGATATTTTGGGACCAGGAATGGGAAGATGGGAGTACACTGGCGGGTCTTCCTTCCAACAGTAAGAATAATTGACCCTGTGTATTCTAGGGGATATCTCAAAACCACCAAAACAACTGAAATATTTTTACTTTTGCTAAAATAAGTTTACATGAATTGAAAACACTATTGATTTTTAAGTGAGGAATAACCTTTCTCAGAAAAACAATGTGGTCCTTGAATCCAGTTATTAATATATTGCTGTAAATGGTTTTTCCCAGAACATTTCTTTCTGTTTCTTTGAAATTTTAGCATATGTTTCTACTTCTATAGCTCACACACATACACACATGCAAATATTACGTTAGTTCCTATTTAAATTGATATTTCCTATAAAGTCTGTCTTGAGTCTGATTTAAAATGGCTTGGCTGGTTCCCAGACAGCTATATAAGAAACTGGAGAGTTTTTTGAAAATTCCTTTTCCTAGACTACTTCCCTGGAGACTGGGATTCAGGAGGTCAAATGAGGGGCCCAAACATGGGCATTTTAAAAATACTCTGAGGATTCTGATGGACTGCCAGATTTAGGAACCACTGGGACATTTTCCTAATTTCTAGAGTTTTTTTTTTTTATTTGTTTTGTTTTGTTTTTTGGTCCACTGTGTCACTTTTTAAATTTTATTTATTTTTTATTGTATTTTATTTTTAAATTTATTTCACTTCATTTATTTATTTACTTTCATTTTATTTTATTTATCTTTTTGAGACAGATTCTCACTCTGTTGCCCTGGGTAGAATGCCATGGCATCATAGGTCACAGCAACCTCAAACTCTTAGGCTCAGGCAATCCTCTTTCCTCAGGCTCCCGAGAATCTGGGACGACAGGCATTTGCCCAACACTGGCTAACTTTTCTGTCTTTTAGTATAAATGGGGGTCTTGCTCTTGCTCAGGCTGATCTCAAACTCCAGCTCAAGCTGTCTACCCACCTCAGCCTCCCAGGGGGCTGGGATTACAGGCGGGAGCCACCTTCCCCAGCCCACTTTATCACTTTAGAAGTCAAGTGAAGACAATGAAATTGGAAAGGCTGCCTGTAGATGTAAACAAAGCTCTCACTGCTCCGAGATGCAAAGTGAATAATTTTCAATATGCTGCATGTTCGCTCTGATTTCTTCACATTCTTTTTACTTGGGTTAGAAGAAGAAACAATATTTTTCCAACCCAAATGGGCCAGTATAATTATAGTTACACATACTATTATAAGCTTCAGTAATTATGGAACACTCCATTGTTGTACCCTATTTTAAGCGAATTGCCAGCCTCTGATCAATAAAACTGCTTCTTAAGTGCCTGTAAATTGAAACCAAGAAATGAAAATTTCAATCAATGTTTAGCCAGGACTAATTATTATAAATCTCCTGAAAAAGATCAGGATTTCTGAGAATGTAGATATCCTGTTTTTAGACCTGGCATGCTTATTTTAGCATAATGAAAAGAGTTCCTTCCCATTATTTTTCTACTTCCAATGAAAGAAACAAAATATTTCATATCTGATTATACTGTTAACTGAAGACACAGTTGAGATTGCTGTACTTTTTTTAATAATTCCAGTAGGACTTGTTCTCTCTCTTTCACAGCTTATTCTAAAGAAGTCTAAATGGGAAAATATAAACTTAGTGAAAATATGTTTACTCGTGGCGGTATATAGGAAGCTGAACAATATTCTAATGAATTAATCAGTGTGGAGTATCATTGCAATATGGTATCCCTTCTTTTACTAAAAATTCTGTTTTTAAAAAATCTGAAATGTATGGTTGGTTGCCCATCTCAAAAAATTAAGCATTGGCTTGGCGCCTGTGGCTCAAGTGGCTAAGGCACCAGCCACATACACCTAAGGTGGCGGGTTCGAATCCAGCCCGGGCCCACCAAACAACAATGACAGCTGCAGCTAAAAAATATTTGGGCGTTGTGGCGGGCACCTGTGGTCCCAGCTACTTGGGAGGCTGAGGCAGGAGACTCACTTGACCCCAGGAGTTAGAGGTTGCGATGAGCTATGATGTCACGGCACTCTGCCCAGGGGGACAGCTTGAGGCTCTGTCTCAAAAAAAAAAAAAAATTAAACATTAGGAGAAAGTATATGAAAAGAAAAAAGAATCTTCTACACCGGCGTCTTAACAAGTCAGAAATATTTCTTTTTCCTTGTTCGATTTCAGTTCTTATAGTTGTAAACATGTTACCGATACCTTGTCTTCTGGTCACTTATAACCTTAGCGGTATTGTCTTTATAGTACTAACAGAGTCTCTGTACTTCATTCATATTACTCTGTAATATTACACTAGGTGATTTTACCTTGGACTTTCCAACATTCTTAAATGTTTTCCTTCTTTACAACTTACAACATGGAGTTCCATTGTTGATGCTTTACCTGTGCTTCAGATGAGAGAGAGCACATGTATATGGACCCTGGATCTTGTATAAAAATCATCTGATTATGTGGATAACTGAGAAGATAATTTCCTCGTGGAGTTTGATTTGCCAGACCTACTTGTGCCTGTGAATAGGCATGTCCTCTGTAAGCAGGGTGACACCTCATCCCAGCCTGGCTCATTTTCTACCTGCCACTGTTATCTTATGAAATTTGAGTTTGGTTTCCCCATTCAAGTGATCAGGAAGCCCGGGAGCTGGGCACTAAGAAGGTGGAGGAACTGCATCAGTGGGTTCAGACTTTCAGAGGGTCTAAGCCCTAAATGAGGATGGTGCCCTCTTTCCTCTCCATAATCTATCAAAGACCTTACATTAGCTCAGGGAAATTCACCAAAGTTCTCAGTTTTGCCACGTGACTACTTCAAACCTTTTGTTTGTTTTGTTTTGAAATGTCAAATTATTTTAAAATTTATTTCTCTTTCCTTTTGGGGGGTTGGGGTCATCTTCTTTGGCTGTACCCCAAGCAAATGTTTTCCCGTTTGTTGGGCATCTCAGCAATTGATAGCAGTTAATTAGGCTGGATATTCATAGAAGGACATTTGCTCTACACCAAAATTCTTTCCTTTTTTTTTTTGAGACAGAATCTCACTGTGTCGCCCCAGGTAGAGTGTTGTGGAGTCACAGCTCACGGCAACTTCAAACTCTTGGGCTTAAGCAGTTCTCTTGCCTCAGCCTCCCAAGCAGCTGGGACTACAGGTGCCCACCACAATGCCCAGCTGTTTTTTAGTTGTAGTTGTCGTTGTTTGGCAGGCCTGGGCTAGATTCAAACCCGCTAGCTCCGGTGTATGTGGCTGGTGCCCTAGCCCCTGAGCAACAGGCACTGAGCCATCCCAAAATTCCTGATTGCCAAGAGCAAACAAAAATATTATCTTAGGAACTTTAGTGGCCTGAATTTTTCGTACTGAATCCCACCATCATTTTCTTTGACAGGGGTTGCTTTAATTCTATCCCAGTAACACAAAGGCTACCAACCAGGAGATGAGCAATCGGACTGACTTAAGCATGTTTTGAGTTGAGGTCATTATCAATTCAAGGGGATTTTGAAGGAAGAATGGTTGGGGATTTTGAAGAGCAGACTAAATACTATTAACAAAAGGATTTCCCCATGCACCAGGCTAACAAACGGAAGGTAGTCTTTGTTACTCAGGATGTGATTAATATTGCCTCATCATTTAATTTTAGAACTTCTAAAATAAGGAGGCTTGCATCAGTTCAAGGCACATGGTTTGAGACCTCAGAGTGCCTCCTTTTTCTTTTCTTTTGTTAATTGCAGAAAAAAATATATACAATACATACATTACAAAAAGTTTTATAAATCAGGAATGAAAACAAGTGTCCCATAGTCTCTTTATCTTGACCAAAACTTCTGATTCCAGTCTTTTTTTAATTCATGTAGTTAAAACATACTTTTGTGACCATGTTTCCCATATGATTTGAGTGGATTTATTGCCTTTAACGTCACTGCATCTGCTCCCCCCCCCCGCTGTATTTACAGTCTTCATGTCCGTTGTAACTTCCCCCTTGTGATATTCCATAATTTTCCTAATCACGCCCCCTATTATTAGGCACTTAGATTACATGTCTTTCCTATACCCAATGCAAATTATTAAGATTCTGGTTCACACCCTGTTAATGTTGCTCACTCAGGTCAGAGGTGACCTAATCCTGCCATGATTTGACTTTCTTAACCAACATTGTTGGGGGGGGGTTGAATTCTTTTTGTCTGTTTTCTTTTTATTTTTGTTAGTTTTGGGGGGGGGCACAGGAGAGGACTGGTCACAATCCACTTCATAATTAGACCTTTTGTCTTTCTTTCCTCAGTGGCGAAAGTGGTGCTGGAAAGACAGTGGCTGCCAAATACATCATGAGTTACATCTCCAGAGTGTCTGGAGGGGGCCCCAAAGTCCAGGTGAGCTGGTGATGGCTTATTTTGAGACTTTGTTATATCAAATGTAAGAGGCTCCATTTTTTGTTTAAAAAAGGATTTTTCTTCCACAGAAAAGACATTGATTCTATGACTAAAAAACTTGAAATCTGCAAAAAAAAAAAAAAAAAAGCACATTATAAGATAGCCATGCCTAATATATAAGTATCTACAAATCAAGAAAAAGGTCCATAGTCCAAAAGGAAAATAAAGAACAGGAAAAGAAATATAAATGGCTCACGAAATATGAAAATATGCTTTCCATCATGATAGTAAGAAAAATGCAAATTAGAACTACACAAAAAAAGCTATTTTTTTAATCTGTTGAGTTGACAAAAATCTTGTAGCGTTTTAAGCACTGTATTGGTAAGAACATAGGGACATAGATTTTCTCATACATTGCTGATAGGAGCATAAACTGGGGAATATTTCAGCAAAATCAATCAAACTTACCTGTGTATCCACTGGACACAGTAGTTCTGCTTGAGAGAATTTATCCTTTAGATATCTACAGTATATGCAAAATGATACATGTGTAAAGTTATTTTGGCATTTTTTGGTAATACAAAAGACTGGAAACAACGTCAATGTTCCTCAATAGGCAACTGGTGAAATAACTTATGGTTTGGCGTGTAATGGAATTTTATATAGCCTTAAAAGTGAAGCTTCATGTATTGCTAGGGAATGATCTCTGAGATACATCGTTACTTGCAACAAGCAAGGGTCAGAACACAATATGTTGCCATTTGAGGGAAAAAAGAGCATGTAAACATATGTGTGTTTATTTTGATGTGTGTCACATATCTCTGGAAGGCTACACAAGAAACTGGAAACAAGGGCTGTCTTGAGAGATAGAAGCTGGGAGATTACCAGGGAGAGCATACTCTTTCCTGTATACTGTTGAAGAACTATTTTTTTCTTTTGTTTTTCTTTCTTTCCTTTCTTTTTTCTTTCTTTCTTTGTTTTTTGAGACAGAGTTTTACTTTTGTCGCCCTTGGTAGAGTGCTGTGGCATCACAGCTCACAGCAACCTCAAACTCTTGGGCTCAAGCGATTCTCTTGCCTCAGCCCCCTGACGCCCACCACAATGCCTGGCTATTTTTAGAGATGAGGTCTCGCTCTGGCTCAGGCTGGTCTCTAACCTGTGAGCTCAGGCAATCTACCCGCCTCGGCCTCCCAGAGTGCTAGGATTATAGGCATGAGCCTCCTCACCCGGCCTTCTTTTTTTTTTTTTGCGATGGAGGCTCTTGCTCTGTTGTGCGGGCTAGAGTGCAAGAATGCAGTTGTGTCATCACAGTTCACTACAACCTCCAACTCCTGGGCTCAAGCATTCCTCTTTCCTCAGCCGCCTGAGTAGCTGGGACTATAGGCATGTGCCACCGTGCCAGGCTAATCTATCTTTCCTTCTTTCTTTCTTTTCTTTGTAGAGGCAGGTCTCATATGTTGTTCAGTTTGATCTCAAACTCCTGGCCTCAAGCGATCCTCCTGCCTTGGCCTCTCAAAGTACTAGAATTAAAGGCCAATTTAGGAAATTATAAAAATTATAAAGAAAATAGAGGCAGAAAGGGAAGAGAGAAAGGAATGAAGAAAGATTAGAGAGTATAAAGGGAAACCTGAGGAAGGAGAGAAGATTCAAGAATGAGGATACGTAAGTGATGAAAAGAAAGAGAGAGGAGCTCCTGATTCAACAGGACAGGGTCACGAACGGCGTTGCTACAGTGTTATCTGTCTTTATGTTCATTCCTGGCAATGTGAGGATCAGCATTGGCAGGAACAGGTAAGGCCTGCTCCCCAGAGAGCAATGGATGACAGAGAATTGCTTGAGGCCAGGAGTTCAAGACCAGCCTGAGCAAGAAAAGACTCTAGAAACCTTAGCCAGAGATTGTGCTGAATGTCTGTAGTCTCAGCGACACAGGAGGCTGAGGGAGGATAATCACTTGAGCCCCAGAGTTTGAGGTTGTGGTGAGCTATCATGACACCAATGCACTATAGCCTGGGGGGTACAGCAAGATTCTGTCTCAAAAAAAAAAATTAAAATTTTAAACGAGAATTATTTAATAGGTAACATTATTACCATGATTGCCTGTAGACACATAACTGCCTCTTTGTTGTGGTTCTGGTTCTATCTACTAATTACACAGTGCTCCACCACGGCCTGATGGGTCAGAAAGCTTCGGGCAGAGCCCAAAATTCCTTATGCAACAAGAGAAGATGGTGAGCAGCTGTCTACTAGAAAGGTGAAGCAAGCCACATCTGTAATTTTAGATTCTCTAGTAGTTAACTTTTTTTTTTGAGACAGAGTCTCACTTTGTCACCCCAGCTAGACTGCATTGGGATCAAAGCTCACAGCAACCTCAAACTCTTGGGCTTAAACAACTCTCTTGTCTCAGCCTCCCGACTAGCTGAGACTACAGGCGTCTGCCTCAACTCCTGGCTATTTTCGAAGACAGGATCTCACTCTGGCTCAGGCTGGTCTCGAACTCCTGAACTCAATAGTAGGAGTTTTTTAATTGGTTTTAAAAATATTTTTATTTAATCCAGTTTATCCAATATATTATCATTTTACTATATAATCAGCATAACAAAATTAATGAGATATTTTGGGGACTAATAGCCACATGTGGGTTGTGGCTTCCGTATTGGACAGAGAACAGCTCGAGAACCTGGGTCGGAGGGGTTCACTCCACTTGCTTTCCTCCAATCATGTGATCCCATTCCATCCTAAGACGATGGACATGGCGACAGGGACTCAGGATGCTGTTTTGTAGGTGAACTACTCTTTGCCTCGATTTACGCTGTCTCTTTTCCCTGATGTGTTCACCACATGGATTAACATGATGTCTATAGGACATCACTGAGAGTTGAAGTGGATGCATGGATGGGTGAAGAGTCTCAGTCTAAAAGTCTGTTATTAAAGAAGAGAAGAGGTAGAAGATCCTGCCTTTCATTGTCTCCCTGAGAGAAAGCTGAGTGTTAGCTGAATGGTGTAGGCCAGCCAAAAAGTATCACCAGACAAAAAGGATTAATGAAAATCCATACACTCAGCTAGCCAGGTGTTGTGGGGGGTGCCTGGAGATCCAGCTACTTGGGACACTGAGGTAAGAGGATCACTTGAGGATCACTGTGAGCTGTGACGCCAGGGTACTCTTCCCAGGGTGACAGAGTAAGACTCAGTCTCAAAAAGAAAAAAGAAAATCTATATACTCAAAATTAATGTTACAAGGAAGAGCAGAGTTTGTATAAATCCAGGAGTTTTTCAAGGAGAATAGGTATCTTTCCAAACTTTGAAATTGACGGCATGGAAGGAGTGCCCAGAATTCGCGTTTGGTGCCATTGATAATGATTCCCTAGTCAGGGCCAGGCACGGTGGCTCCCACCTGTCATCTTAGCACTCTGGGAGGCCCAGGTGGGGTGGGTGAGGTGCTTCAGTGCAGTAATTCAC